AATCTTTGCAAGCGGAAGATTGTAGGTTCAATCTTTGCAAGCGGAAGATTGTAGGTTCAATCTTTGCAAGCGGAAGATTGTAGGTTCAATCTTTGCAAGCGGAAGATTGTAGGTTCAATCTTTGCAAGCGGAAGATTGTAGGTTCAATCTTTGCAAGCGGAAGATTGTAGGTTCAATCTTTGCAAGCGGAAGATTGTAGGTTCAATCTTTGCAAGCGGAAGATTGTAGGTTCAATCTTTGCAAGCGGAAGATTGTAGGTTCAATCTTTGCAAGCGGAAGATTGTAGGTTCAATCTTTGCAAGCGGAAGATTGTAGGTTCAATCTTTGCAAGCGGAAGATTGTAGGTTCAATCTTTGCAAGCGGAAGATTGTAGGTTCAATCTTTGCAAGCGGAAGATTGTAGGTTCAATCTTTGCAAGCGGAAGATTGTAGGTTCAATCTTTGCAAGCGGAAGATTGTAGGTTCAATCTTTGCAAGCGGAAGATTGTAGGTTCAATCTTTGCAAGCGGAAGATTGTAGGTTCAATCTTTGCAAGCGGAAGATTGTAGGTTCAATCTTTGCAAGCGGAAGATTGTAGGTTCAATCTTTGCAAGCGGAAGATTGTAGGTTCAATCTTTGCAAGCGGAAGATTGTAGGTTCAATCTTTGCAAGCGGAAGATTGTAGGTTCAATCTTTGCAAGCGGAAGATTGTAGGTTCAATCTTTGCAAGCGGAAGATTGTAGGTTCAATCTTTGCAAGCGGAAGATTGTAGGTTCAGTCTTTGCAAGCGGAAGATTGTAGGTTCAATCTTTGCAAGCGGAGGATTGTAGGTTCAATCTTTGCAAGCGGAAGATTGTAGGTTCAATCTTTGCAAGTGGAAGATTGTAGGTTCAATCTTCAGCATTTTCAAGTATGGCTCAGAAAATTATGTGCTTGAAACCATGTCAAGCCAATGCTGCCGAGGGATGGGATTTTCAGATTTTCTGGACTGCAAATGCCATTATTGCTCATTCTGGGAGTTCTACCTATCTTGCAGACACCTTAGAAACACCTAAATGTGATGCCCTTTAGAAGGCCTGGTTTTGAGGCTGTCCTAGGACTACTTCCACCCAAACTTCTTGTTGCTTCCCCACTACTCGCTGGGAGCTTCCTTTCTGAAGAGGAAGCTAGATGGAATTAAGCCCAGCTAAACCTCTGAGCCTCGTAATTTAGGTCTTTCCTCCACGTGAGCCATGCGTAGGTGTTTGTATGGTGCCTGCAAGTTAGGCAGAACTCCGAGAAAGGACAGTTATGGTATTTGTAGTCCCAAATAATCTCATCCCTAGTTAACAGTAATGGGCCAAGTGGAACAAGATTCAAATGGTGTATCAGGCAGCCTTCCTATTCCCCTAACTGTATTAAAATGCCACTCACCTGGTTTCTGCCCACGGAATAGAGAGATGGGCACCCTCTTGCCCTAGAAGCCTTCGGATGCCCTGACGGCCATTTCACCAGAACTCCATCTCTTTGGCTTCTCCGGCAAAGTCTTGCAGCCATCTCCAGCCATCTGAAGGCCCACATTTCACTCCGCCTGTTGAAAACTTTATAGCTGTAGTGCTGAAGCCTCTGTGCTGCAAGGTCAGAAGACTAGCAGTCGGAAGATCGAATCCACGTGTCGGAGTGAGCCCCCGTCACTTGTCCCAGCTCCTGCCAACCTAGCCATTCAAAAGCGTGCAAAATGCAAAAATGCGAGTAGATAAATAGGTACCACCTCAGTGGGAAGGTAAACAGTGGTCCGTGTCTAGTCGCACCACGGAGGATTGTCTGCAGACAAACGCTGGCTCTACGGGTTGGAGACGGGAATGAGCACCGCAGCCTAGAGTCAGACATGACTGGACAAATTGTCAAGGGGAACCTTTACCTTTTACTAATTTCCAACATGCCCTTCCACCCCTTGGGCCTCTTATCTTGGCACCTGTAAAAGGCACACTGGCTTTGCATGGCTGTCTTGGGTATTCCATCATGCCTTGGATCAAGCCGGCCCTTGGCTCTGTATTTTTCCAAACGCTGATGATTGGTTTGATCTGGTGGTGCCGGAATGAGGTGACAAGCGTTCCATGACAGGTATAGTTGAAAAGCTCTCTCACTCTCTCCAGCTGGTGTGCCTGGTAAGAAAATAGGCCCTGTCTCTATTTAAATAGCTTCACTAGCTCCCTGGAGAATCTCGGAATATGCAGGAATAAAAGTGACACCTCCAAAGTAAACTGTGCATACATGACAGCATTTCATTAGCAGATCTCACCAGCAAACATGGCCACCCATCGCTGAAGCAGATGGTGGCTCTGGATGGCCAAGGAATGTACGGAGATGCATCGTTGCTGATTCACCCAAGTGGAACCTGGAATCAGGACCAAAAAAAAAGTTCCTTCTACCTGACGGCTAGAAGACCTCTCTTGCCTTGTCCAGAGGGGGATAAAGTTTGATTCTGGACTACAGCTCCCAGAATCCAACACTCATTATGCTAGAGGGGAATTGCAATCCAGAAGGATCTTTCCTGTCTCTCACCCACTGAGACAGCCATCTTCCTCCCCTCCTTTCACCTCCTTTCATGCTCCTGCTCCCCTATTTCCCAGTTCAGTGCTTAGGTATCAAAATCCACCTAGTTCAACGTGGCTCAGAGCTTAGAGCACTGGTTTCGCCAACAGAATCTCCCAGTTCAGTCCAGGGCATCGGCAGGCAGTAGCCGTGAAACAGGAGTTTCGAAACTGGCAAGCCAGTGCAGGGGCTAGCAAATTTGATGGGCCAGTGGTCCAACTTGAGAATTGTAGCTTCTGAACTCGGATATTAGACAATATTAGCGGGCTTTTTCCTAACATATCCTAAATGTCTTTGGAAAGGTTCTGGGGCTGGTGTCTTTTTTTTAATCCCAAGATAGACAAGAATGTATTTGTGGTTTGAGACCAGTTATCATTCCCTTCCTCTTGAAATGCTTGGTCTGCCTTTGCTGGCAGATGTGACTCATGCATCGCTCAGAGAAAGGGCTGATGTAGGTTTTCCCAGAGGAAAAGCTGAAGTTTGGCCAAGACAAGCAAAGGGAAGCAGGTGTTCATACCCGGGGCGGTCCTGCGCTGGTCAGGGCTTTGGCCATGAGCCCATCTTGATGAACCCGAAGCTGCCCTCTCAGAGCAATCCTCTGGGTGCAGGATAGTGAGAAAGGGGGAGGGCTGTGCAAGGAACCCTGGGTTCTTCTCCTGTTGGACCTCTGACATGGAACGTCCGCAGGCCGGATGCCGTTTGTGCTCCAAAATAGCCACATCCAGGCTGAATGTGTTGGGAGCAAAATGTCCACCTCTGGAAAGTGCCCAAAGAAAAAAGGCACGCATTTCCCACGTGCACAGCACACAATCCTACGCATGTGAATCAACAGACGATGCCTTTAAGCGATGCATACAGTGTTTAAAAGGTCCATATTGAGGCAAAGGGTGCAGGAGGAAAAAGTTTATTTTGCACCATTAAAAAAGAAGTGGGTGAAACTGGAGCAGGTGTGCATGTGGGAAAGAGATGTTTCCCCCAGGTACAGGCTTAATTGATAGCCACACCCCAGTGGCAGGTTTTCAAGTCATGCTTCTTCGGGCATTCACAAGCCTTCTTTAGCAGAGATAGTCCTCTTTTTGAATGTGTGCTCTGTTTGAGGAGCTCTCCTTTCTGAGTCTGGCTTAAAGAACCCTGAGCAGGCAAAGAAGGGGCTTTAGGTAGCCCATCACCCACAGAGAGCAGCTCCTGGACCGCAACCTCAGTGTCAGGTCCATAGGCCACCAGGTCACCTCCCCTTACAGTTCATCACACCTTCCTAGGGTGCGAGGTATTGTAATTCCCTCTTAATAAACCCATCTATTTCTCCTTTGGCCTCTGTGTGTGCAGATCGGCACGTGCTGTTTTAAGCCGTTCGGGACTCTCTTTTGTCCTCCTCTTCGGTGATGCATGTCCTTCCTCTTGATCGCTGTGGCCACCCTGTGCGCTTCTGGCCTGCTGGGTGGCTTCTTTGGGGCTCAGATTGGCTTCGCCAGCCTTTTCTCCTTTTTTTTCTGAATTGCAGCAACAGCCGGCTGACCTCCCTGGTTTCCCGTGGATGCTCATGCCCCATAAATCATGGCCTGCACCAAGGTGCCGGTTCCACGAGGTTTCTCGGGAAAAGCCGCAGGCTGGCCTTCCTCAACCTTCTCCAGATATTCTGGGGCGCAGCTCTGGAAAATCCCATCCTCAGATACGCAAAACCTGGATCTTTCAGCAATCGGCATTTTCTGTGGGTTAAAGCGAACCGGCATTCAAAATAACGATGACCACCAGCATATCCCTGGAAAAGACGCCATCCATCGCTGAAAAGGAGGCCAAAATAGGACTGTCCCAGATCATATATATTGATCTATATAGTGTCCGTCTCAAACTATGACCGAGAAAACCCCCACTCTTGAGGCCTTGGGGAGCTGCGCCTGGTCTGTGTGGGACAAGCTCAGGGAAGTTTTGGCCCCACATGGGAGATGGACGGCAACTCTTACAACCCTTTATCATCATCTGGGGCTGCTGGAAATGGAAGGCCAACAATCTGGGGGGAACAGGCACGCCATGAAACTTGCAAGATGTTTGCAAGCCTCTCATTCTCGGTAAAACCTACCACTTGGCAGTTGTGAGGATGAAGGGCGGAGATAATGTACTCTACCCTCACTTCCTCAGAGGAAAAGGGGAATGGAAAGTGGCATAAATAATTGGCCCGTGATGGTTTCAAAGGTAGTTGAAAATCCCAGCATCCTCAGGCAACAGCTGGGGTCTATGCTCAGTTGACCTAATATGGTGCATAAGTGAAGAACACTGGACATGAGAGAGTCATGTTTAGAACCCCCTACAATCCATAGGGCTCATTGAGTGACCTTGAACCCATCAGGGTTTCTCAGCCTGACCTACCCCTCAGGGCAATCGGGAGGATAAACTGGGAAAGCGAGAGGCGTACACCCCATCCTGTGCTTCAAGAAGGTGGAATAGAAAAATAACACATAATAATAATAAAAGAAGCACATGCACCCTCTTAGGGTTTATCTGAGCTGCTTTTGACCTCCTGCCCTTCCTTTGGCTGAAAATTTAGGCCAGCCAGTGGTTGGTAAACCACGAGCCATTTGGGTCTCTACAACAAGCAACTTGGAGGGCACTGGACCCTGGGAGAGAGTCATGTTTGGGTCTCTACAACAAGCAACTTGGAGGCGTCACTCTTGGAGCATTGCATGGTGGGAAAATCAACATGGTTGGCACTGGCTTCTTAGCTGCCCGGCCAGCTGAGTCTGGGAAGCCCATAGAGTCTGATCTCACTTGGATCTGGCTTTCTTCCTTTCTGCAGTTGCCTTGCATAAAGCAAAGTGTGTAAACCTTGGTGGCGGATCACTGCTCACGAAGGAGGTGCTGATGGTGATCTGGAGCGTGGGCCCAGGAATGCAACAAGGGCCCCTCATTAATGAGTTTTCTGCAAAGAGATCCATGATTTCCTTTAGGTAAAGGTAAAGGTTCCCCTTGACAATTTGTCCAGTCGTGTCCGACTCTAGGGGGCGGTGCTCATCCCTGTTTCCAACCCATAGAGCTAGCGTTTGTCCGAAGACCGTTTCCATGGTCACGTGGCCAGCGCAACTAGAAACAGAATGCCATGACGTTCCTACCAAGGTCATCCCTATTTATCTACTCGCATTTTTACATGCTTTCGAACGGCTAGGTTGGCAGGAGCTGGGAAAAGCTCACTCCATTGATCTTACGACTGCAGGTCTTCTGACCCTGCAGCACATTGGTTTAACCTGCAGCGCCACCACGTCCCATGATTTTCTTTACACAAGTGTAAATAAGCATTTGGATTTTGAGAGGAAAGCCTGCTGGACTGATGCACTCTTGACACTGATGATTAAAATGTGGTTTTGCTCTGAATGTGTGAATATGAATTGCTCCTTTTAAAGGAAAAGTACTATATATCTATATCTATATATTGACATGTTTTTCAGTGTTTTATTACTTGTTTCTAAATATTCCCCAGTCTCTATAAGCCTTAAAAAATAAATCTTAAATTTAAAACAATAAGGAAAAAGCCACCTTTATTAAAAGATGTGTCTGATTGCAGATTCCCCAGTAATTTAAAATGGAATTGTGGTAAGGATAAATCCACTGGGATTTTGAGGGGCTTTTGAACCCAGTAAAAAAAGCCAAGGTGCAAGAAGCTGAAGGCAGCTCAAATACTCCATGCAAAGTGTGACTGGTAACAAGCAAA